GCTTGTGTGTGTGTGATGTGCGTGTGTGCGTGCGTGCATGCATGCATGCTTGTGTGTGTGTGCATGATGGGTGTGTGTGTGTTTGCCTTGGCCTGTCTCCAGCCCCCTTCTTGGGGATCTTATAGCTCTTAAAGCTAAACAAACACTTGACTGTTATTGCAGAAACTTCAGGAGACTCTGGCTGGAAGTGGAGGAAGCGGGGTTGGAACCGGATCTTGAGGGTCCTGAGTTTTGTCCACAGCCAGCTCCCTCAAGGGGAGGGGCCCTCCCACAAATATCTGTTCGCGGAGCACTCTCCCTGCTCCCCTTGTTCGTGGTGAGTCAGGAGGGGCTGTCAAATGGATCATTTCATTCTGAGAAAAAGATAATTCCCAAATCCCTTCCCATGTTGCCTTTAAATCTTTCCTACTTCTAAAAAATTGGTAACACTTAGCTGGGCCACAGCCCCCAGGAAGAGCCAGCCCCTGGTCTCCTCTCTCCTTATAGCTGAGGCAGGCTATTCTGGGGCCAGGAGGCTGCCAGGTCCCAGGCGTATAGAGCAGGGCAGAGGACAAAGCTGAGAGCTAGCTTCCCAGTGTCCAGCCAGGGGAACTGGGGCTCACTTACCTTCCAGCACCCGGACCCCCACCATGCCATCCAGGTTGATTTCGGGCAGCCTCTGTTCTAGGAAGATGGTGGCTCTCTCCAGCGCAGACAGGATCGGGTCCGCAATGGTGGCTTTACTTTTGGCAGTGTCCAGTCCAGGCAGCAAGTAGGACCCCAGCGGTGGCAGTGCCGTCAGTAAGAGCAGGAGCAGCAGCCCCGGGCTGGCCATGGCTGGCCTCTGCTCATAGCTGGTCACACGCTCAGCACCCCGAGCTCTGGCCCAGCCCAGGCCGCCTCTGCACGCCCTCCTCCCATCTCTTCCCCACCTCCCCCTGGCAGACCTGAAGACAAGTGGCCTGGCAAGGCTGCCAAAAAGCCTGGGGTGGCCCGGGCAAAGGACTCTGGGAAGGGTGGCTGCGGGGGGATGACTGCAAGGCAGCGGAGGTTAGACCAGTCCTGGGCGTAGAGCCTGCTGCCCGTGGGGTGCTGGGGAGAGGGGTGCCCGCCCTGTCCTTCTTGGCCCTGATTCTCCAGACCCACAGGCTACGTCTTTGATCTAGCAATTGCAATTCAACCCAGAAATCCAAAAGCTCTGAAAGCAAAAAACAAATTTTTTTTTCTTTCTTTGTTTTTTGAAATAGGTTCTCATTCTCTTGCCCAGGCTGGAGTGCAGTGGTTTGATCAGAGCTCACTGCAGCCTTAACGTCCTGGGCTCAATAAATCCTCTTGCCTTAGCCTCCTGAATAGCTGGGACTAGAGGCATGTGCCACCTTGGTTGGCTAATTTTTTCTTTTTTTATAGAGACAGGGTCTCACTGTGTTGCTCAGGCTGGTCTTGAACTCGTGCGCTCAAGTGATCCACCCTCCTCGGGCTCCCAAAGTGCTGGGATTACAGGCATGAGCCA